AAGACATGGTAACGCCAACGCCCTCTCTCGCCTGCCAGATTGCGAAAACACATTGAATGTGTTACTCGGTGCTGCAGCCGACACCGACTGGGCCTCCCTGCAAGCGGCGGACACAGCAATACAGCCCATTTATTTACGACAACAGCATGGGAACGACAAACCGACGTCCAAAGAACTACAGGACTTACCAGCAGCTACGCGGTGCATCTGAGATAAATGGGGTCTACTACGACTCATAGATGATGTTCTTTACATAGTGGAACCAAATGCCAACCCCCGACTCCTCCTCCCAACCGTTAAAGTACCCGAGCTCATTAGTCAAGTACATCAGCAACTGGGACACGTTGGCCAACAGAAAACTGAACACGCCATCCGTCAACGCTTCTGGTGGCCATTTATTCACCACGATGTTACGGAGTTTTGTCGCAATTGTGCTATATGTGCGCAGATCAAACAGCCTAAGCCAACTCCCCGAGCACCCTTAGTACCTATGCTGACCAAAGCCCCTAATTATCGAGTGGGGGTAGATATCATTGGGCCAGTGCCAGCATCGAGACGCGGTAATCGTTATATACTCGTCATGGTTGATTATTTCACCAAGTGGTGCGAAGTGATTCCTCTTCAGCAACAAGATGCCCTAACGATCGGGCGCGCGTTCATCGACAATTGGGTATCCCGTTTTGGTGCCCCCCTTTATCTACACTCCGATCAAGGCGCTGCTTTTGAGAGTCTTCTGATCGCTCACATCTGCAATGCTTTTGGCATCCGAAAGACCCATACTACACCTTATCATCCGCAAGGTAATGGACTGGTGGAACGCACCAATAGAACCATCAAGCATCTTCTCCGTGTCTTTTTGCACAATGCACCAGAGAACACCTGGGACGATGTCCTACCCCAGTGCTTTCTGGCATACCGCTCCTCCATGCATTCGTCGACAGGATTTTCTCCTGCTCTGCTATTGTTTGGGCGTGAACTTCGCCTTCCAGTTGAGATCCGGACACCGTTGCTACCATATGAAAAGATCGACTGCATTTCCTTCGTCACCACCTCGATCTAGCCTACAACCTAGCACGTCGTCATCTTCAATCTTCTTCGCAACATCAGAAAAGCAATTATAACCGGTTTGCACACGGACCAACTTATTCCCTGGGTGACTACGTGTGGCTCCATCGTCCGTCAGCCCCTGCCGACTCGTGCCCCAAATTCTACGCCCCCTGGCAAGGTCCATATGAAATTGTTCAGCACCGACCTCCGACCACATATATCCTGCGGAACTTGCGACAACCCCAAAAAATTCTCATCTCAGCGCATTACAATCAGCTGAAACCACACTATTCAGGACCTGTCAAAGGAGCTCTGACACCTTCGCAACCGCTGCCCACTATGACCTACTTAGAGGTGTCTACCGACGCCGTGTATTGGGATACCGTTTATCCTCCCCGCCACAATTATACTTTTAAATCACCCTAAATAGCCATTGAGTCATGAAGAAAATAAAAGACAGATTCAGCCAAGAAAATTTTCTTTATCGACGAAATCATCTTCAGAGGCTGTACAGTCGTATTTTTGCTTACGAAAATATATAGTGGTCTATTATTGAGTAATAGGGGGTGACATAATTGATATAATCACTCAGATGTGGCTTTAGAAGTGAACATTAAAAGTTGTTATTTCCGTGGTACTCAACGGCACAAAGATAGAAATTTGATAAGGTTAAAATTGGTATTGAGTGAGAATAAAGGTATTTGAGTGTCAATTTAACAAGTGTGAAGAGGGTGTAAAAATATACAAAAGAAGCATATGTGAGTGATAATAGTGAATTAATTATTAAAACAAAAGCAAACTGAAAGTGAAATTAGAATGAAAAGAAAAAATCAGAATATATTTTATTAACAAGGAACGATTAGTGAAGAGGTTAAGACCAAGGTAGAATAAGAGACTGGACAAACTTTTTCTGTATACAGAGTTCAGGGTTGTATTGATGAATTGCCAGAGCCTCCGCCATACATAAAAGCCGAAACCTGACGCCGTTTGTACCATTTGGCTTCACTTTGTAGATGATCTTGAAAGACGATTCTGGTGGAGCTACGTGGCCTGAGTTCACCAAATGCTCAAGAATTGAGCTAGTAATTGTCTTACATTGTCCCTTTGCTAACCATGCCGGATAATGTTCAGAGATGCGTTTAGAAAGCGTGCGGCCAATATAACTAGCTCCACACGAGCAAGTGAATTTACAAACACACATTGAGGTGACCCAAAGCGGCAGTTTATCCTTCACACATCCGTTGATCATTTGTCGGCTGTAGAAGTTGGTACGTAGCTCAGCCATAAAGAAGGCTTTCCTCAGGGATCTGCATAAGCGATTCTTCAGGATCTCAGCTGCGGTATCACCTTTAAATTCAACACTCATAAACAGCAGTTTTTTCGGCACCGTCTGTATTCTTTTCGGTTTTTCCCTTGGCTTCATGTTTTTCTCGATGAATCTTGGAGGATATCCATTCTCTATGAGGACTTGTCTGAGTCGCTCCAGTTCTCCAACGATTGTATCACTTGAACATGTCCTCCTTATTCTTGAGGATAAGGAATGGATCAGATTTCTCTTTCTTCTCAAAGGGACCCAGCTATGGAAATTTTTGTACTGACCATTATATGTTGGTTTCCTGTAGATCGATCTTTGAAGAGAACCATCAGATTTCCTCTTTAGAAAAACATCCAAAAAATGGAATTCCGAGTTGATCTCTGATTCCGACGTGAACTTGATGGCATGATGGCAGCTGTTGAACTCTTAAGTTATCAATTCGATGTCGGTATTGTCGTCACGTAAGATAAAAGTATCATCCATGTATCTTTGGTACAGATGGAAACTGTCGATAGTAGGCCGTAAAGTATTATTCTTCAAAATAGCCAAGAAGCAGTCTGCAAGTAAAGGACCCAATGGTGACCCCATTGCCACTCCACCTCTTCGTCTATAAATCGTGTTGTTGAACTTGAACTGGACATTTAAAGTGCACCTCAATAGTAGTTCCTTTAAGTAGTGGATCGGAACACATACGTCTACATTATTATCCTCAATGAATTTGCATATAAAGCAGATAGTTTCAGTGAGGGGAACGTTGGTGAAAAGCGAAGTGACATCCATGGATATCATTTTCTTCCCAGATACATTAGCATCATTTACTGAGTCGACGAATTCAAACGAATCAGAAACACTATGCTTGCAGAGGTTGTTTCTGATAGGTAGGAGGATATATGTGAGCCATTTGGCAGTAGCATGATATGGGGAATTTGTCATGTCCAAGATTGGACGTAGTGACACGTTCTCTTTGTGCACTTTCGGCAGACCATATAAACAGGGAATGACGGAACCGGAGGGTCGTGTATGCTCGAATAATTCAGAGCTGATAATCGACTCGTTCTTCATCTTCTTTAGCATTTGTGTTAGCTTGTCTTCAATTTGTTCCGTTTGGTCTTTCTGGCTACTTTCTTTTGAAAATTTGTTTTCATCTGACAAGACTGATAACATTTTATCGATGTAGTCTTGGCGATCCATCAGGACAATGCCAGCACCTTTGTCAGGGCGTGTCGAAACCAAGTTTTTGTTCTTTAGAATCTCACGTAGTTGCTTTCTGTGCTCGGCTGATATCAATCTTTTGACATTTGGTTTCGTGTTGATGTACTGATGGCAGCTATTTAATACTGTAGACTTGAATTGTTCATATGATTTATTGGACACTGCAGGAAGGTCATTTGTTTGTTGGATCAGTGCTTCAAACTGGACTTTAATATCCAAGTCACTCAAATTTGTCGAAATATCACAGAATTTTGGACCCAACGACATGGCTTGCAATTGGACAGGAGTCAATGATATACTAGGGTAGTTGAAAACGTATTTTTCTGATTTGGCAGGAAAACGTGAGTAAGTGTCAGCGGCTTTGAGGCTATTCGCGAGTTTCCGGTTTTACATCTTCACGGCTTCTTCTTGAAATTGAATCCATGTAGACCATGAAACTTCTCTGCTAGTCTTCTGTCAGCTCAAATAGAGCATGTGTTCTTAGGGAAATATTTCTTTCTACCTCTGGTAGTCGAGATTATATTTCGTCGATGACGTTCAGTGTATGACGTTTCAGAGAGCGATGGTTCGGGTGGATATGATTGCGACGAAGACATTTCCAGAAGTGCTTGGGATATTCTTTCTTGTCAATACAGCTCCTCAGAAAACTGATTCTTGTATTCGCTATGGCATGTTTGACAGAAAAGTTAAGAAACGTATCAAGTTCCTTCACTGTCACAGGGTTCTTGCTCTGCTTCAAATCACTGAAAATACCCATTGAGTCATGAAGAAAATAAAAGACAGATTCAGCGAAGAAAATTTTCTTTATCGACGAAATCATCTTCAGAGGCTGTACAGTCGTATTTATGCTTACAAAAATATATAGTGGTCTATTTACTGAGTAATAGGGGGTGACATAATTGATATTATGCTTTTTCTCAAGTGTCGGCAGGGTGTAAACACTTGAATTAGTCGCGAAAGTAAACAGTACCATTAGTGGTCATATTTTCATCGATTAAAACATAGAAAAAAGGAGATATTACATGCAATGTTATGATTGGGGTGTGTTTTTAGTAGCCTAATTTTTAAGCAAGCCATGCTCTAGTGGTTAGGATTCCTTGCTCTCACCCAGGCGGCGCGAGAGCGCTTTGTTCGTCGGTGGCACATCGGTTAGGACTCTCACCGACCATGCACATGGTCCGGGGTTCGATCCCCTGCCGACGCACACCTGATATCAGTGTTCGACCTGCAACATTTGGGCTACCGATATCATATACTGAAAATTCCATACTTGTACCAAAAATACTGTGTGGAATCAAGGTATAATCAAAATCATGGTATATTTTCTTATAATTCTGTAATATACATATGAAGAAAACAATGATAACATACTTTTATAATACTTTTTTCCTTTTTCATCTTATGATTTTTCATTTTTTTTTTTTAGGAATTTGCTAAAATATCCAGTGAGAAAAACTGTAGTGAAATGTATGAATCAGTGTACAATCGTTTCATTGATGGTGAAATCTCATTGATGCATTATTTACGTAGTACAAATATGCGAAAATCAAGAGCAAAACACCAGGATAAAGTTGTTTATTGTATATGTCGACAACCGGGTCTAACAAGTTTTATGCTTCAATGTGAATTATGTCGTGATTGGGTGCATAATATATGCGTGACACTTCCATCTTTAAAGGTTAGTTTAATCTATTCAGTATTATTGATGAATATTGAAAGTGTTGATTTGCACTGATTTGATTGGTGCTTACGCGTTTGGCCACGAGTTGTGAAATCGGTTGGAGAATCATTAGGGAGTCTGGGAGTACTCCTCGACAGCTGGTTTCGTAGTAGTTTAAGATTCGTGTTATGACGGGAACTACGACCCAGTAGGCTATGAGCGAATACTAACTAAATGCGCTGGCTAATCTGTCCTAATCACGCGTCACCACCACCAACAACAACAATAACACCGCTGGCACGCAAAAACATATGGAAAGACTGGACGTCGGGCAAAGTTAAACAATAGCATCCTAAAGGATGCAGAATCACGGGTGACCTTGGGCCAATCAGCCATAAAATAAATGATTTTTACATTAAAAATGACGTTTATTTATAAGCAAATGCATGCGAACGCATTAAACAGGGTATCTTTCTCTTACATGACTTAAAAATACGCCCCATTTATGATGAGGGGTATCAGTTTTTAAGGTAGACCACTTTCTGTACATGTATTCACCGAGAGGTGACTTAAGGTGAGCTTTTTTGTGACCCGTTTATCGCTCTTATCCTGTTTTCTAGTCTTCCCCCAAACAGTCGGTTGAATTAATATGATTTCCAGTAAGAAGATCGACGACTGCTTACTAGGAAAATGCGGATAATAAAACAAATTAAAATAAATAATACCAAGTCTAAATCTATCCCTAATCGTAACCCTAATCTTAAACGTAACACTAACCCTAACATTAATCGTAACCCTAACTGAAACTCTCATCCTAACCGTAATCCTAATTATAACCCTGATCCTAACCCTAATGTCTACTTTAACCGTAACGAGCTATTAAAACATTGTCCACACAATACTTAAAAGCGTTATTTGGGTGAAATTTGCTACTTACTTGTTGATATTTGCGCTACAATAATAACAAGTGTCGTTAGGCAACGACTAAAATGTGTTCAAAGTCATTGGAGCGTTCGCATCCCTGGGACGCTATTGTTTAACTTCACCGGACGTCGATAAGAGAGCTTTCACTGTCTCAAACAACAGTTAAAATTCTATACAGAAATGGCCTTGAAAATGTAGTAATTCAGTGATGCATTAAAAGAAGTATTAACAGCCAATAGGAATCTAGCAATCCGAACAGTCGGAAAAACAAAGGGCCCACGTCGTTGCGCGATAACTCCTTAAATAGTCATTTTAAGGTTTTAGACAAAACTAGGTGTATATAACAGTTTGAACCCGGGACCTTCTAGTTACAGGGCTACCTTGTAGATCATTCAGAGAGAGCGCGCAACCCAGCAGCCAATGTCATAGGCGAGCAATTACTACGAGACGGCTGTTCAGTACTCCCTAGGTTTCACAATGCTTCTCTAACTGTTCTCAACTCGTGTTCAAACCTGTAAAACAATGAAAGATCATATTATGTATTGCCTTTTTTGATGTTTCTAACATTACATATGTATATATATATGCATAAAACCACTTGTCCTTAAATGTATTATTCGGTTACAATATAGTTGCTCACTCTATTTAGTATTGGTATGAGATTTTTCCACTCTTAAAATTTAATGTACTTTATTCAGTATATACATGTGTGTGTATACACATCTGTTCAATACTTGTTGAATAAAGCATGCAAAAATTTATTTGCAATTTGGTATGAATTTCTTAATCTATTGACTAGTAAAATTATCTAGGCATCATAGAAGTAATTTGTTTGATAATTATACATATGTTGAATATTAATGATAACTAGAAAGAATATGATTGAAATACAAGATTTCATCATGAGCTGACATTGGTTAGAGAACCATTGGAAAACCTGGGAGTACTGGACAACTGTCTCGTCCTAGTTTGTGACTCTTCATCAGTACGCACCCTTCGGGGTTCGAACCCAGGACCTTCTGGTTACAAGGTGAGCTAGCTCTTAGACCGTTAAGCCACTGGGACGCGATCCAATGGCCCATCCCTACAAACCAACACTCAAATATCGATGAGATGCTCACTAGCAACTTGCCTTATTCAGGTAGGTAGTTACCTGGGGTTCTAGTGAGAAGTTGTTACCAGTAGGGTACAGCAGGTTGGGTGGGAGGACAAATACTCGCCGAAGACATTGGCTAGCGGTCATGCTGTGTCGTGAATTGGCAGAAATTAGAAATCATAGGCTGGCCAATGGATCGCGTCGCAGTGAGTGGCTTAATGGTCTACGAGCTAGCTCGCCTTGTAACCAGAAAATACTGGGCTCGAACCGTGGCGGCTGGTGCGTACTGTTGAAGAGTCCCAAACTAGGACGAAACAACTGTCCAAAACTCTCAGGTTTTCCAATGGTTCTCTAACCAATATCAGCTCATGATGAAATCTTGTAACCAATCAACCAAATCCCTACAAACCAACACTTGAATATGATTGAAAATTCTTGGATTTAGTGTTTTACTCACAAATAAGAGTGTGTGGAACAGTTCACTCCACCTCTTATTTATCCGTAATTCAATCATCATTTATAAATAGGGGATTTATAAACTAGAACTGATAACACTTTGCAGACGACGAGAAATCTTCAGCTTAGTTTAAATGAGAATGAACAATCAGGTCTAATTGGCTATTTTTAAAAAAAAATGATGGGTCAGAGATTTGACTTAGAAGTCAAACATAACTTTGGTTTGTGGCAGTCACTGATTATCCTAGTTGTGAATAAAGGGGAATATTCCTTATGTGATAATCATAGAGGAAATTGTTTAATCAATAGAATTTTTAAATTCTTAGGCTTAACTGGTGTTCAACAGTAACATGTTTGGGAAAATCAGGTTGAAATCATATATAACTGCGAGTTTTCCAACTTGGTTGACCCCACTGGTAACGACCTCTGACTAGGACTGCAGGCAACTTTCTCCTGTAGCCAGTCCTTAGTGAGCATCAGACCAACTTTTGGGAGTTAGTTTGCTTCAAGTTTGATCACGTATTGATGTCAGTATGCACTGGTGGGTGCGTAATGATGATGCGTCTCAAACTAGGACAAAGTAACTGTCCAGTAATCCCTGGTTTTCACTGGTTCCCTCTCACTGATATCAATCCGTGGTTAAAGTTAAAACAAATCAAATTCCTACAAACTAACCCTTGGAAAATGTTTTATTTCACATATTGTTATAAACTACACACAGCTTCAGATTATATTGGTGGTTATTTGAAAGAACATACTGTAAATGTCGAAGCGTTAATATTGAAAATGTCATAAATTGAAGAATGCAAAGTCCATAAAATCGAGAGACTATCAAATTTTCTAGTTCAAATCATTATATGTTTTATATGCCTTACTTTTATGTGAGCTTTTACTAAATGTAAAGGCTGGCTTTCTTTGATTATAGGTGGTCTACGTTCTATCTCCCGTCTTAGGGTGAGTAATATTCAGGTTAGGCTTCGGTCGAGTGTTAGGTAGGGAGGGAAAGTCAATCGATGAGGTTGTGATGCTACACCGATTTAGTTGGCTAGGACACGTGTTACTCATGCCTGGTCACCGCCTTCATCCATAGGCAATGTTAGATGACATACGATCAGGTTGGAAAAGAGCTTAGTGGCGATCAAACCAAAACATGGCTTCATCAGTCCATGAAATCTTTAACAGTTAGTTTAAGGCAGCCACGTAGGTAGGTCTTGGCTTCCTAGTTTAGGTCTTTGAGGTACTAAGAACCGATGAAGACTGTAGACGACTGGTGATATGCCTGAAAATCGTTCTCAATGGTTGGCGCAGATGCATCCTCTCTTTTTTAGTCTGCCATATCCATAAAGGCCTATTGTTTTTCTATGCTACTATTGTTTCTCCCTCTCTTGTCTTCCTTTTTGTTCTACATGGAATGTGACGATTTGAAATTCTGTACTTTTGTGCAATGTTCTATGTTGAAACCAGTGAATCAGTCTTTCTAAGTGTTACAACTTCTTGTACACTTCTTTGTAGGGTTTCACTTTGTTCTGTCAATCAGTTATCAAACAAACGAGGAAGTTGAAAATTCTTAATTTCAAAATCAGTGATTAAATTAAAAGATCGTGAAATTTGCTCAAGCAAAATCAAAATACTATAGGAGAATAATGATATTCTCTCTTTCTGTGTCGATAAGTTCACAGTTAAAAACGTTTTATCGCAAACTTTTTCGAGAAGCATAATTATGTTGGTATCTGCGTATGTAGTATTTCAAGAGACTCACAGACAACAAAATGTTTCCTACACACACACACACAAGATGTTTGTTTAGCGCATCGTTCGAATCTTTAATTCACTTGCAACATATGCTATTTGTTGTGTGTATTGAGGAAAGCATTCTTAGTGCTTACAATGAATTAGCTATCGCGCTGACGCCAGCCCATAAAGTCACTAGGTATAGATATAAAAGTATTATACTGAAGGTGCTGTTGGATTGATTGTCTTGGATTTAAATGTCTGTCTGTCTGTCTGTTTTTGATATAGAACTTTGCACCGATGTGCGGCAGTTCAAGTCGTCACACTCCATGTAGCACACAAAACAAGAGAAGAAAGTAGAAGAAATGCATAATATAGGCAGTAAACAGAGCTGTGAGAAAAAGGAATAGTAATAACGAAGAACGATATAGTTTTATTGGAAATTATGAGTCACAAGGAGTGGATGCATCTGCACCAGCCATTGAGAACGATTTTGAGCCATATCACCGATTGTCTGCAGCTGTCATTGGTTTTTACCGTCCCGAGGACCTCAACCAATCAGGAAGTATACATCTCCTTACTTGGCTTAAATTAACTGTTGTGGATTTCATTGACTGATGAAGCCATGTGTTGGTTTGACCACCACTGGCTAACTCTTTTCCATCCTGACCCTATGACAGCTAATATTGTCCGTCGAGGAAGACGATGGATGGCTAGGCACTCATACGTAACACATATCCTAACCAACTCAATTGGTGTAACTTCACAGCCTCTTCGATTGATTTCCGCTCCTTACCTAGAACGCGACGCG